CCATGACGACGACAGAGGATACCAAGTAACCAATCACTGGTGATTGTATTTGAGTCTGAGCCTGCTTACGATGGTCAGCCAGAAGGCATATTTGTAGGACAATTTCACAATGAAGACACGAAAGTTCATGCTTGGTCAGAAGTTGAAGGAGTGGGCCACTACCGTTGGCTTAAAGGGCCGATGAACCACTTACCTCGTGAACAACAGTTGGAGTTCATAGCAGACGTTATGCGATAGATCTTCATTTTCTTGCATTGGTACTGATTGACAACAACATTGCTTCTCAGAGACCTCGAAGCTAAATGAGGGGGTGATATTAGGGACATAGTCCTTAGAACCTTCTAGAGACAAGTTTCTAGAACCTTCTAGAGACAAGCTTCTAGAACCTTCTAGAAGCAAGTCTCTGGAACCTTCTAGAAGCTTCTTAGTTGGTAGAAGATGTTAGGGACATAGTCCTTAGAACCTTCTAGAAATAAGTTTCTAGAACCTTCTAGAAGCAAGTCTTTGGAACCTTCTAGAAGCTTCCTAGTTGGTAGAAGTTGCTTGAGAAGCTTCCTAAATAAGAGTATATATTAGAATCGAGGTTGAAGAGTTCTTCAGTCTCGACAACACATCTCTTGGAGCTCTAGCTCACCTCTCTGGTGTTGTTCTTGTATTCATCTGATTAATCTAGTTCTTACCAATTCTTCTTGAACTTCTTGTTAGATCTCAAGTCTGTATTTCTGTATCCGTGGCAGATGAAGATCTTTAAGAACGACATGTCCTTCCTCGAATAGATGGCGAGATACAACGCGTTTGGTATCATGATTTGGGAAGGAACTCCTAATGTTTGGTGATTTTGCTAGAGATAGGAACAACTCCTGATGGTGTTCCAAATATTCTATTCGAAGGAAGTTATGAAGGCCTCAACAATGATCAAATAACTGGGTGGTTTTTCCGCCTTGGTAAGGGACACTACCGATGGTTGAGAGGCCCTATCAATCATCTTCGAAGAGAACAAAGATCAGAGTATGTGGCGAATACAATTCGTCGCATCATAGATTTTTTCAACATATGATGATCGCTCTTCATGGAACTCATTCCTAGAAAGAAGGGTAATGTTACGGACATACTCATGTAAGCTAGTAATTATATATACAAATAGGTGGAAGTAAGTAAAAGTAGATAAAAGTAAGTTAATTCTATAGTATTTAATATGAAAGCTTCCTAGAAGCTTCATAGACGCTGCTTTGACTTCATAGGTGTCTTTAATTGATTTTTTGGATTAGAAACGTCGTCAACAAGTTGGCCATTTGCCACACATGTTGTTAGCTTGAAGATCAAGCTAACTATGTGGCCCACATGTAGAAAAACTTGCCTTATAAGTCAAGACATGTGTCCTACAAAGTCAACACATATTGGAGGTCTTATAGAACGTCGCCATGTAGCCCCTAGTTAGATAGTATATATAGAGACAAGAGTGAAGCCTTCTTCACTCTTGTCAACTCCTTTCTTGCTTCTAGTCTAGTTTCAAGGGTCTTTAGTTTTCTTATCTTTTGGCAATATCTATTCCAGTTTCTCTTTCAATATACATACTTGTTTATTTATATTTCGTTATCTTTCTTTGAGTGAAGTCTCACTTGTTTGAATTTCTTTTTTATCGAGTTCTTATCCATCACACTAATAAGTGCAGCACTATGCCACTGGATATCAATTGCAAGTTGTCAAAATTGTGAAACATACAACATTATTGATTGATTGTCTTGTCATAAAATACGGATCTTATTGGTTGCAAGATGAATTGCATCATATTCTCCATACATGGATCAAAACTCCACCAAAAAAGCCTCTAGATTATCTAGTATTGGATCTCGTCATTCAAAAAAAGATGAAAATCATGATAATGCTGAACCTAAAAGAAGCTCACTAATGAATTTAACTTGCGATCTTGGAGTTGGATAACTTTGGGATTGAAGTTCAATTACAAGTTGTACTTGATTGATAAATCCTCTAAACTTTGATCTGGTGCCATCAAACTTCTCGGATAGGATAATTCTAGGTTCTCTAACACTGGAAGGGCGTTCCACCATAGGAGAAGGGATATGATTTGGTGCACATGTTGAAGCAACTCTAATCATTTCTATATCTTCACTTCCTGCCAATCTTGTTGTTCATTGTCATGGTAAATTGAGTTGATGCATCGCAAGCATTAACTCTCCCAATTGCTCTTGTATTTGTGCCATTACACTCTTCATTTCAGCAAGTTCTGCCATGATAACACTTAGAAAAAAAGATGTTTAATATTGCTCAAAACAAATAGAAGAGAGGACTTGAGAATAAAGAAAATATTATGGATAATATGAGTTTAGAAGAGGGTAATCTGCAACTTCTAATATGTTTATGTCTTATCAAGAGAAAGGGATAATCCACTCTTAATGAAGATTAGACAAAGCTCTGATATTATAAGTGTACTCTTGTCTATCTGTCAAAGACAAGAACTTGATAAAAGCAAATAAACAAGTGAGACTTCTCTCAAAGAAAAATGACAAAATAGAAATAATTCAATATGTATATTAAGAAAGAAACTGGAATGGCTATTGCCGAAAGACAAGAAAACTAGAAACCCTTGAAACTAGACTAAAAGTAAGAAAAGAATTGACAAGAGTGAAGAAGATTTCACTCTTGTTTCTATATATACTATCTAACTAGGAGCTACGTGGTGATGTTCTATGGGACCTCCAATATGTGTTGACTTTGTAGGACACATGCCTTGACTTACATGACAAGTTTTTCTACATGTAGGCCACATAGTTAGCTTGGTCTTAAAGCTAATAACATGTGTGGTACATGGCCAACTTTTTGACCACATTTCTAGTCCAAAAAGTCAATTAAAGACACCTATAAAGTCAATGCAGTGTCTATAAAGCTTCTAAGAAGCTCATATAGCAGATATTGTAGAATGAACTTATTTTTACCTACCTTTACTTACTTCTACCTATTTATACATGTAATTTCTAGCTTACTTGCATATATCCATGACAAGGTGTTGCAATTGCTAAAGACTTTATATGATTTGAAACAATTTAGACATAGATAGAAGAAGAGTTTAGATAAATCTTTATTAAATCTTGGTTGAGAGCGCTTAGAATAAAATCTTTATTTGTAAGCAATGTATATCGAAGAACTAATTCTTATATTAATTATTTATGTTGATGGTGTACTTATTAGTAATAAGAACTATGAGATCTTTGTGATTTACAAAGATGAATTGCAAGTTTGTCATAAGATGAAAGACGTTAGTAAACATAGTAATTTTTTTTGTATTTATTTTTTGCAAGATAAGAAAAATGGTACTATTAGTTTGAGCTAAATTAAGTACATTTGTTGAAATTTGGAGAAATTTGGAATAAAAGATGTACAGACAATTGCTACACTAATGGTACAAAGTTATGTTACTAAATATAAGAATGATAATCTTTTGGATGCAAAAGATATAAAGCTATATTAAAAGGCTTTAGGTTCATTATTGTACCTTGAAAATGGTATAAGATATGACATTGCATTTGCTTATCAATACTTTGCTCAATTCATGGTATATCCACATGTTTCACATTGACAAGGAATTAAACAAATATTTTATTACTTACAAGAAATAAAATAATTGATATTGTAATATGGAAGAAAAAAAGAAAATTTAAAACTTATAGGCTACAATGATGTAAATAGAATAAGTTGTATAGAGATGCGTTGTTTAATAGGAGGTTATGTCTTTATATTGGACAGGGCAATTATCACTTGGTCAAGCAAGAAACAATCTTTAGTTTCTATTTTGTCAATGGAAGTAGAATATGCAGTCTTGGCTATTGCAATAAGAAAAACTTTGTAGCTTTATGAAGTACTTAGGAATTATGACATTTTTGAACCAAAAAGGATTATCATTTATAAAGATAACCAGAATGCCATTGCTTTTGCCAAGAATTCAACACACCATGGTTGTATAAAGCATTGGGATATAGAATATCATTTTATTAAACAATGTGTTGAGAAATGACAAATTGGTTTAGAGTATTGTTCCACAAAGTAGATGGAAGCAAATATCTTCACAAATCTTCTCCCTAAAGATAAGTTTCTAACTTTTAGGGATATATTAGAGAATTAAATCCCTCTTTTGGAAGAGTGATGAATATCCCATATTATATATACCAAAAGCTATGACTTATCCAACTAACACATGGAAAGTGCCCTTTTTCTTGGCTTCTGGCACCTTTTGTTAGCAACAAATAATATCCATATTGCTTTCATGCTTTCATATCAATTGTGCAACAATTGCAGGTTTTTGATAACAAGTCCTAGAAGTTAATTGATAAGAGGAAGAGCGAGGCAAGTCAAGGGTACTCTTGCGGTTCTAATGTCTCGCTTCTCATATGGAGGTCACACCTCCACACTAAGATGTCTGACAGAGTACCTGGAAATTAGCAGGCGGTGGAAAATTTCACGCTTATGAGATGGGACTAGACTTCATTTGGAATAGGACCAGCCAGCCGCATAGGTGGAGGAAGCTACCGACGAGAATCAATGTAGGAATCTATTTGCTTGTATCCTCGGCTACAATTTATCTTGCCTGTGCTGTTCAAATGCAACGGTCCAAGGTTAGTACTAATTTACGTTTTTGACGTGGGTTTTGCAAAAGTAGGAGCAGTTGAAGATTTGAAGATCGAGCGAGAATATGAGTCATGACACCTCCTGCCGTCTACCCTACCTGAGGGATGCAGAGATTCATTTTTGTCGCAGTTCTTGGAATCCCATACCTCAGTAGATGTTACTATCCAGTGAGAACGACTTAATTGCGTGGGATTGAGAGAGCTCGTAGCCAAGTGGCATAGGTGAGAGACTTCCACCTGGGAAGTTGTGCTGGCCTTGACTGCCTTTGACGATATCCGCAGCATTGAGGATAGACACAGCGGGCTGGGATACGAATTTTTTATTGATTTTCTATGGTAGAATGTAGGCAGGATTGGAGCTTTCATATATTCCGTGGAAACTTCGTCTGTTTCGAGTCAGGGGGTGCTCGCTCTTGAGTTTTAAGCTCTCGTCTCGCAGTGAGATGTCCCATTCTGCCGTTGCGATTCTTGGCTAGAAATATGGCGTCCGGAAACTTGTTTCGTTTGTTGCTGCGGGGCTGGAACATCCCTCTATTTGTGTTCACAGTGGGATGCACTCTTGTCTACCTCCTCAACTTCGAAAACGCTCATGTGAGAGTACATCGCGCTTGGTGCTGCTCCGATCTGGATTATGGGTGTTGAGTTTGAGTATGTTAGGGTCTTTCCAGGATGGTTCTTTGTCTTGAGAATGGAGATGTCGACGAGAGATACACTGGTCAGAATCATAAGCGACACAAGGTTTAGACGTATAAAAGTTGGATGGTATGTACGAAAGTGTCCGCAGCAGAAGCTCTTGCAAATGCCGTTGTCTCCGGCGGTGGCAGTTTTTTCTTGATGCTGTTAGTGAAATTGTATGCTGACATTTTCAAGTTGTCGGGTGGTAATTTTAAGGGCAGACCTTTTCCTTGATTACACGATTAGATATTTTCCCTCTTGTGAATCTAGAAGAATCCACAAGAGTTGTAATGTCCTTAAATACAATCAGAATAGTGTAACATGCCTTGACTAGACCAGATGCTTTTCGTACTCGTCTTGTTTTAAACCCGTGGATCTGTAGAATATGGCCATGACTTGTGAGTTGGGTGTGGGTAGGTTTTGCAGCGGAATGAAGGATGTAGTCTACTATCTGAAACTCATTTCGTGCTCTATAGCAAGCGTGTGGTAACTCCTGCAGGGATCGGGCCATATGCAGGTTGTCTACTGCTCCTCGCTTTTTGCAATGGATAGTAGCGACTTCAAACTATTCGTATTCAACATGCTTAAGGATAAACCATGCTGTGCTCATTATAGAAGCTTATTAGTTGATAACCTTGGAGATCCCTGCATGAGTTTCTGGACACCTCAGATCTGCATGCTTGCATCTGGTCCGGTCCATTTGTAAAGGTTAAAAGTGCTGAATATTCGGAAACTAATAAGTTGTTTGAAGTTAATACAAATCTAGCATGTTGGTTTGCTGGTTACAGTCCTGCAACCTTGCATAGAGTCTCAAATTCCGACCCTGATGCTGCGGTTTCTGTAAATACATAATCTTTGTTTTGCAGTGGAAGTGGAGGGCGAGAGGATTATTTCTATGACGAAGAGAAGTGAAGCACCTAAGAGCGCAGGAGGGAAACCTCGTGTATTGGACTATGGAAATGCTGTCATCATGCCCGGACTTATTGATGCGTACGATAATTAACCCTTTCAGTCGCTAGGAATAAGTGTACTGGATGCAGCAATTTGTGTCTTGTCTTACCGCATGGATGCTTTGGTTAGATAATTTTTTGCTAAGTGTGTTAGCTCTCTCTGCAGTTAAAATGCGAGTCATTGTCTACACGTGTTTGGCTTGGATTACAATCTCTTTGAAAATAGGAAAATGGAACATTTATGGGCAATAATTAGGACCTTGAGGGTGATGTTTGGTGCAGTCATGTACATATTAATGAGCCAGGCCGAACGGAATGGGAAGGTTTCCTTACAGGCACAATGGCTGCTGCTGCTGGTATGTTCATTTACTGGATTTTTCCTCACTTTCTAGTTTTGGGGCTCCTTGCCTTGTGCCGAACTTATTGTTGATTATGCTGAATTGCAATATGTTGGCTGTTACAAATTAGGGGTGCCTGCCTCCTCGTGTTTGTTCTGATATGCATGAAGCATGATGCATGCAATGATTCTCCACATTGTGCTTTTCAGGTGGTACAACCACGATAGTGGATATGCCTTTGAATAACCATCCCACTACCACAACAAAAGAGCATTTGGAAGAGAAGGTTGACTTGACTGCTATTCTCTTTTCTCTCTTTGTACCACACAATATCTGTTGCATCTATGCTATAACCATGAGAGCTTTAAATAATTTTGTGAAATTACTAAATATGTGCACATGTTCATGAGTGTGTATTTAGAAAGAAGCTGCCAAAGGAAAACTTTATGTGGATACTGGTAAGTATCTTGATACGTAAGTGGTGTCTGAGCTAGATAGTGATATTTGCCCCGATTAACTAAATTTTCCCCGTCATTGGAACTCACATTGTCTTCTGAAATCTCTCATGATAGATTTAGCTTGTGATCGATATGTTTTTTCACGTAGATACGCTGGTCTCATGTGCAAATTAAAATTAATTCTCACAAGAGTTTGTGTGCAATTTTTTTATTTGAGCTAGTGGTGGACCAGTAGGTGAGCATGTATAAATGAAGCAGGTACTCTACTGCTTCTTTTTCATATCTGATGTGTGCCCATTGCTTTTGCAGGTTTTTGGGGAGGCTTGGTTCCAGAGAATGCTCACAATGCATCGGTCTTGGAGGACCTTTTTGAAGCTGGTGCTCTAGGCCTTAAGGTTAGAGAAAATTTTCTCCCTTCTTTTTGCTGTGTGGTTCATGTTTTTCTCAGGATCTCAATGCAACTTGTGTGTACAGTGTTAGAGAGCAATTGAAAGTCATTTATTTATTTATTAGTTTTTTCAGTCATAGCAGAAAATAAGTTTGTAATTAATCTGTGAAAATCTGCCTTCATGTTTTATCATGTTATTATTTTTGTTTTGATTTTTATTCTGTGTGTGTGTGTCTGTTCAGTCATACTGAACCATGGTGTATAGTATGGTGAAAACAAAGAGTATGATATTCTTTAATCATTAGTGCTCATACACGTCAAGTTTTTACTTAAATTTTTTTGTGATTATGATTATCAATAAGGAACTTGTTTGCGGTTGAATTTTTGCAGGCATTCTTGTGTCCATCAGGAATCGATGACTTTCCTGCTGTTACTGCTAAACAAATAAAGGTTAGTAGGTCATGAAACAATTTGTCATTGCCTTGTTGGATGGTGGTTAATGTGATATTAAAATTGTTCTGAAAATTTTGTGTCGAACCGTGTAGTGTTCATATTTTTCTTAGACCTACAGATACTAGAGATTCATTGAATTCGTTTTTCAATTAGCTTTTTAATTTAAACTTCTTATTTAGTCGTAGTTAATATTACATATTAATTCTCAGTCATAAATGGTTACTATTTTTTGTTAATGGGATCCTTTTCTGAGTCTTGCCTCTCTGTTGATTGCTTTTGGTAGGCTTCTTTACCAGTGCTCGCAAAATATAGACGTCCTGTTTTGGTGCATCAGGAAGTGACGGACCCATCTGCCGTTCCTTCTGACTTGATGCCAGGGGAGCCACAAAGTAATGCTCGGGATTACATGAGATATCTGAGCTCTAGGCCTTTATCATGGTACTTTACCTGGTTTCCTCAAGTCCGATTCTTTGAGTTTGACCTCTTACCATAAAATTTCATTGTGGAGCAGAAATAATGTATAATATAGAATGTGCTTATCCTTTGCTTCTTTAGCCGATTATCACAGTTCCCCATTATCTCCCTTCTTTCTAGCTACTGTGCTTATCAGAACGGTTCTCAGTCATCTTTATTGATCCATAAAGTGTCAAAGTTTTAGTTATAGACGTTTTGTGGGACACCTAACTATCCATTGCCAAGTAGCAGAAAATTTGTTGAAGTCTTGGTCAGTTTTAAGCTTTAGTCAATCATTGGTCGTGTTCGTTGGTACAGGGAACGTGAAGGAGTAAGACAGTTAATGGAGGTGGCAAAAGATACGAAACCTGGTGGCGTGGCAGAGGGAGCTCATGTGCATGTTGTGCATCTAACTGATGCAGAGGATTCCCTCGATCATGTCAAGGTACGAGTTATTCTTGCTCTGCTTTCAGGACAGTTATGCTTTGAACATGAAGTTTTTGATACCGTAAATGCTATTCGTGAGTAATAATCTCTTTGACAAGTCTGGTTTTTGAACATATATATTTGTAGCTTTTTGTTTATTAGAAGTGATAATGGCTGCTTGCATAGGCAGCGAAGGCCGAGGGATCCAGTGTGACTGTGGAGACATGTCCACACTACCTTTCTTTTGCTGCAGAAGATGTACCGGAAGGTGCCACGCAATATAAATGTGCTCCGCCTTTGAGAGACGCTCGTCACCGAGAACTTCTGTGGAAAGCCTTGCTGGTGGGAAATTCATTTAATATTTTCAGATTCTGTGATGCTTGAACGTTTTTTCAACTTCTGTTGGTTTCTAGACAGCAAATCTGTTATGTGGGTTGATTAACTCTACCGGCATTAGTCGCTGTGCCCTGATCTCAGCAGATCTGAGTAAGGCATTGTCGTTCCTTTTGTGAGACGGAGAAAAAGAATAGTAACACACCAAATTTGAAAAAGTACGCTTAATGATTAGGTGTGCTTCAACTCTAGTGATCATATTGTTCAGAATGTGGGTAGACTAGCATGACTTTTGTCTTGCCTCTTTTTCTGTGCAGAATGGGGATATTGACATGATAACAACAGACCATTCACCCTCTACTTTAGCTTTGAAGCTATTAGAGGAAGGTGATTTTCTGAAGGCTTGGGGAGGTATTTCTGGCATCCAGGTTAGTTTTCAAGTTCTGCTATTTTGACCTCGCCTTTTGCATGAGCAGAGGACCTTGCTGTTAGAATAGAGCATGTCATCTTGGAACCCAGTTCGTTCTGGAGACTCAAGGCCGCAATCACTGCTATAATGAGAAAGAGGTGCAAAATTTCACGCTCACAAAACCCTGAATTCGAGGTTACGTTTTTGCAGTTTTCATTGCCAGCTACATGGAGTCATGGGCATGCCCGAGGCATGACTATCGAGCAACTGTCCAAACGGTGGAGCACGGTGCCAGCCAAGATGGTCAACCTTCCACGCAAGGTGCTCTGAATTTATTTCTATCCCTGCATCAGATATATTTACGCCTGACTCTCCACCTTCTAGGACATAAGGGAACCAACAGAGGTTTGTCTATACTAGAATCCAGAAATTCTTTTCGACTCTTTCTAGATACATTCTTTATCATTAAAAAAAAGTGATTGTCATAGTCATGGTTGTGTGAATAACACTGTAGACTTCGTTGTGGAATTAACAGGGTTCACTTGAATTTGGGAAGGATGCTGACATTGTTGTGTGGGATCCCGAGGCATCATTTTTCATCAATAGCACGTATCCCATCTATTTCAAGAATAAGGTAAAAATACTTGCTTGTTATGCTTAGCAATTATTTCATTCTCAACTCAAGTTTGGAAGTGGTTTTGTTCAGAGGGTAACTAATTATCAACATATGTATGCAAATAGGTGGCGCCGTATATAGGCCACAGATACTCAGGAAAGGTGATCACTACGTTTGTTCGAGGACGACAAGTCTTTGAAGAAGGTCGGCATGCCAAGAAACCTTGTGGCGCTATGATCAATCCAGTTTTGATTATAGAAAGAAGTGGTAATGAACTGCTGAATTAGTGTGTTTGAACTATCAGATTTTCTAATGGAAACAGGTCCACTCTGCACAGCAGACGAATTGGTGGCTTACTCAGTTGTGACATATTAGTGAGATTTTTGAGGGATCTTCTCGCTGTTGTGGAAATAACGGAAGGTTTATAATTCAAGAAAATTGTATACATTGCATATGAGGTTGTTTTGGACGTTCTACCTTTTCATATCACTAGAATTGTCCAGCTTTTATGAGTGCCAAATTAATTTGAGTTTAGTATCTGATACGTGAAGTGAGGCCTTACTGTGAATATCCTCGACATTCTTGCTATGAATTAAACACTTTGAAGGCAAGATGCGGTCTCGAAATGCGTATGTAGAACCTTAAAATTTCAATTTATGTTTTGATTGAATTATGACCCAGGCTAATTCGAACTTCACAAAAGCAGCGAATCATGGAACTTAGCAAACTCTGGGTATACATGGTCATTTTATGTGGTGAATGGTGCGGTTTTCACTGCGAAAAGATTACACGAGTTTGAGTGAGTGGTTGACATGGCAAGTTATTAACGTGTAGTCACCAGCATACATGATATGTAACACGGGTGCCAAGTGCTTTTGATGCAGAATCTGGTATATTTTCCGGCATACCAGTATTGGGTGATGAAACAAGTAAACGAAAGGTGAAAAACCTCTAGTTCTGTTCAAGAACTGTAATCTGGACACAACTTTGTTAAGAAACTGGTACTTCAACGACACAACGTTTCGTCGTGTAATAATCCGGTTATGGACCTTCTGAATATTTCTGTAACCAAATTAAACTAAACTCAGACTTGGAGAAAGGAATTCTTCAAAAAATCTCTGATATTTTCGGCATCATCAAAAACATAAGTTCAACTCACTCAGACGTCTAATTGTAGGCTCTGCTTGCATGATCACTGCTGTATGGAAGTATCGGGGTGGAGCTGATCGTGTGGCTCCAGAAACCTCCTTGCTGTTCTCGATCGCCAGGAACTTCCGGATTCGATACGATATATAAAATCTGAAATGCTTCGTCACCAGGGTGACGGATCCTAGATTACCAGCTTGCATTTCAAATTTCAGTGGTGGTTACAGTAATCATCATAAGTTACAGTTGAAGCATTCAAACCATTTAAACTGCTGATAATGCACCCGACGAGTATTCGACATTTACATTACGACCCATTAGAACGCACACGTTTTAAAAAGAACTTTTCTACAGCCCGAGATGAGCTTGCCCACCCCAGAGCTCCTTGCCGGTACCGTGAACCAGGAGCACTCTGTCCAAGCCCTCACACAGCTCTTCACAGTACTCCATGTACCGGTGCGGTGAAATGCCCTTGTAATGGTCTGGAAGGTTGATGAGAACCAGTTGGGCGTCTTTGGATTGCTCTAGAATGATATCGTTCAACTTCTTGGGAGAGTAACTCTGGCTAAACGTTTCCCATGTCCTTCGCATGGGTTCAACCATGTCCTCGGACGTTTCAGGGTTGCCTGCAGGAGAGCCTGGGTAAAATTGCCTTGTGTTGTGTGTTGTATCATCATGGTCTGATTCGTCCTGCAGATCACCAAATATTTTGGTTAATGGTTTCCAGTACAACTTTGGCAAGAGAGATGACTAAACGGAGGGCTTTGTCTGAATTCTTACCTCGTTGCTTTCGACAGTGTCAAGCCCATGCCGACCATCGTCGACTACAATTTCCAGAGATGCCTCGCCTCCGTCAGCCCATTTTGTCGTTTTCTTAGGCTTCCTCCATGTTCCCAATTCTCCTAAGGAGCTGGGGTTTGACTCAAGCTCTCCGCAAGCTGGCGTCTGGTTGGATTTCCTCTTGGAAGGTGAAGGGGATATGACAGGAGTCCGAGACGGAGAGGATGGAAGGAAAGATGGCATGATATTATGTGACTGTGGCTGTGAGTTGTTGGAACTCAGTATAACATCGTCTATATGATCGGTGGCCTTAGAATTATGTTTTGGAGATGCTTTTCCAGCGCTTGGACCTGAAAATAGGATATTTAAAACTGTGTCAACGTGATAGTATAATGTACAAACTTTGTATAAACTACTGCTCAGATTGTTTCTTCACGTTTACATTAAATCTACAAAATGAGTAATCTAATCTTGAGAATATCTTACTCGGCGGATTTCGCCGCAATTGATCCCGACGCCTTGAATGGTTGACTCCTTCAAGTTCACTAAGCTGAAAACTTGGCAATCCCTTTTCCTTGGATTTAGGATTTTCCTTCGGTTTCTCTCCTAGTTTTGGAATCTCAGTCCGCCGTTTTGAGTTTCCGGGACTGTCACTTCCTCTATGTTCGATAGTCTTCCTGTAGTCAAACATTTGCCTAAGTGGATGGGTCCTTGTACACCCTAAAATTTAGCGGGACGATACAAATGTATGATATATACAAATATTTCAAATAAAGACTTGCAAAAGCCATTGTGGAGTAGCCTAGCCAGGACACGGGTTGTTTACATGTCTACAAGTGGCTTCACAAGTCTAAAACAATGTGGAAAATTTATCTTACCGATAGTTGGCAACTTCCTCAGCAAAAGCTCTAGCTTCCTGTACTCGAATGGTGTAGTCAAACGTGTATGGTGCCAAGCACGACTCATCAAGTTCTAATACCTGAACTTCAGCCTTGATTCTCACCTGCCAAATCCAAGAATAGTTATGTCAAACAGCATTTAGAACAACTTACAGATGAAGCATGTGTTTTCATAGTTTGTGGGGCATATTATACTAATGCCGACAATAAAAGTCTATGAGTCCTTAAAGAATAAGAGATTCTCACCAATTCCAAAAGTCTCTCCAGATTTTTCTTCACCACTTGGGAGTTATCAAGCTTCTCAGCCACAGTGTGCACACGAAGTTTGCATTTGCGCCAGATCTTGTGCTGCCGCAGAAGATGAGCTAGGAGCAGTAGCAACCCTCCGTCATGGACAATCCACCAAACATCAATGAATCCTTCCTGAAATTCCTCCTTCCCAGGAAACCGGTCCAAGTGCATACACAACAAAACAGCTTTGTCTACTGCTCGGCATTCAGTTAATGTCTCCAATAAAATCTGCACATATGTAACCACGACAGTGTAAAAAAATAAGAGTGGCCAAAGAAAATATCAATCATACTGCAGTGCTACATCTTAGTAGCGACAATTGAGAACCTTCTTAATGGATGAAACCAATTTATGGTTAGTGGAGAAGGCAAAATTTACCTCAGCATTATCATCATGTCCCTCGTCACGCCACTTTGTGGGCCATCCAAGAACCAAAGTGTTGGGCTCTAAACTACCCAATCCTGATGACTGAATGGCGTAAGTCTTGCCCGCACGGTACGATTGTGCAATAAGTACTCTTCCAAACCCAGTTACTTTTGCTTCGGCCATTCGATTCTCCAACTCAATCTGCCAACACACATAATAAGATTATTCTACTTTTTATTGTAGCGTTTTGTAGAGTAGGGAGCCCTTGCATTTCAGATCCAAACCGGCAATGAAGCATGAAATTCACTACTCAAATGGTGAACATCTTTAAGCGGAATGGCATCAAGTTACAACAAACAAGGATGTTACCTTCTCCGCAGATGCCTGAGCTGTCATTTCTTCTACTTTGCCCTCAAGAATGACCGTCACCACACACAACCCTTGTCCCTGTGATTTCCAAGCAACAATTCATAAGCATACTTTACAAAAATATAAGAAAAATTACGTACCTGATGATTATAACTAGAAGAGAGAGAGCGAGAGAGAATGCAACATGCCTTCTTCAATTGGGACGTGAAGAAGAGAAACTCGTGGTCCGAGTGGCTATTGTCGGTCCATGAGGTTCGAGGCTTGGAAAGACAAAGGAGCTGAGGCCGCCAATTCACGGTGTAGCGTGCCTCTTCTCCAACAGACAAAATCCCCCGTACTGCAATTTGAAGACACAATCCTCCTATTCCTGTACCCCAATTCACTTCAACCTGCAAAATTCCAATTAACAATCATCTTAGTTTCCTGCATTTTTTTCAATACTTCACGTTTCCAGTTTCAAGTGAAAAAGTCGCATCATGACTAGCATATGTTTATTAGTGAATAAGAAAATATGATTGTAAGGTTGAATGACACTTGAAAGAAGGAGCTACCTGGCGATAGTCAATGTAGACGTAAATGAACACCAAGAAAACCATGGCAACCAAAGCCCAGTACCATACAATCACAAAATTCATTGCTGCACATGCCACAAACCCGACAAGGGCGGCCGACCAGTGATAATACTTCCACTTTGGCCTCCAACTGCACAGCACAACATGAGTTTACCGATCTGTATCAATCTTCACGTGACAAGTTCCATATTTTTCCTAAAAACATCAACAACCTTGTGACCAGAGAAAATTCAAGTTGGTTGGCGTTTTTCTTACCTGGGCGCGTTGACCACGGAGAGAACAAGACATGAGAGGTTTAGTGCGGCGTAGCAAGTTAGGAAACAGATAGAGACCAATGGAGCCACCGCATTCAAGCTTCCAATCATTGCAAAGACAATGCAAAGCAATGTGGTAACCATCAAAGCCTTCTTAGGTTCCCCATTCTTTGAAATGGTGGCTATTGGTCCCAAGAATGGAACTACTCCATCTGCAGCAATTGCCTGAATTACACACAAACAGTGGAACATATTCCTGGTCATTACTGATGTGAAATTTAGAAAGGAATAGAAAACCTCTTAAAAATATATAACGTTGGCGTACAATACTTCCAGTAAGTGCAATCACCTGAAGTAAGCGAGGAGAGATGATGATGCATTGCATGGCTTGCGCAATGGCAGCTATAGCGATACCAAGTTCCGTCAAAATTGCCACAGGAAAAGATATTTCTCTGACGACGTCAAGCATGGCATGATCACCGCCACCTATATTTCCCAGAAGATAATCTCGCTTTGCTACTGCTGCCCATAATCCCATGTAGGACATGTACATGACAAAACTGACCACCACAGCGCCCAATGTTCCTTGAGGAATCGACTTCTCTGGTCGTCGAAGATTGGTTGCCCGATCGGCTCCACTGCAGAGATAAAAGTGATTACTAACCAAGAAAATTTACTTAATTACTTGAAGCAATATCAGAGCTAAAGCTCTTCAGTGGATTGAGCTTAAACGGAAAACCAAGAGAACCGTTCAATTGGAATATTGAAGTACCTCAAAATTCCAGTGAAACAAGGGAAAAAGAGAGCTACAGCTGTGGAGAAAGACTTTCCCTCTGGGTATCCAGGGCTCCAATTGCTTTTAAATGTAGTCCAGGAAAGACCAGTAAGAGATGGTGGGTGGGCTCCTCGGGGAGCCAAACCCAAACCTAAATAGAAAGAAAGCATTGTGTAAAGGACAACAGCGAAGAAGATGAGCCCCAGCTTTGAAACGAACTTGATTCCAAAAAATACCTGCATCAATCACATTACACCCATAGTTCCTCAGTTTATTTTTTGTTTCTGTGACATCCCGGAAGCAGAGAAGATCATCTTGAAGGTCTCCCTAGTAAATAAACTGCCCTTGCCATGTAAAAAAGGCATTGAGGAGTAAGTTGATAAATCAAAGCTTTTCTTTCAAAAACTTACGAGTACACCAAGTATGAGCAGGACAATCGCGCCTATGATTCGGTTTCCCGACACAAAGTTGAGCTGTGGGAAGGTGAACATCAACATCTCCACTGATCCCAATCCCTGCCATCGCGTCACCGTAACATTACACTTACATGAGCAAAATCAATTGTGAGATCCTAAGCGTGTCTTTATATTCGTGGGCTATTGACAATCCTAATGCGTGAATTGTGAACCAGTTCGACCCACAAGAAAGCACAGAAACCCTATTGAATTGGATGTCTTGTTCTTTGGCCTCATGGAAAATCCTACTAATTCTGTGTTCAAACTGGTCGCTGCTTCTGAGCTAATATAATCTCCTTTTCAGGCCTCTTTCTAGGTTATACAGTGTAGTCGCAAGTTTAAACTACTTTCTTTACTGCAACGAAGACTGTTCAAATGATGCTGTTGAAATGAGAAAAGTAAAGGGTCACCTTTATGAAGGATCAGGACTGTCAAGTTCCTTACTATCAAGCTCATTCTATGCTTCCCCAGTCCTCGTTTAAGAGGGTTACAACGAGAATTGCACTTGGCGCTGGTAGCAAGGATCCCCCACAATTCCAAAACTTGCTCAGCTTCTAGCTCTACGAAAAAGTGTGCATCTCAAATTATTTTGATGTTGATGTGCGTCTCAAATACTGAACCGCACTGAAGACTGCAGTTATTTGTTAAATTGCTTTCTGCAGTTTTCCCTGCAGGAGAAATTTTCTTCGTGTTTTTATGTTCTTTCTTTGATGTTTTTTGACATTTTATTCTTCTTCGTTCGTTAAGTTTGAGTAACCTCATGATCAGACACGTAAGAAATGTGGTATTACCTCCAAAACTGCAAGCAGAACTACTCCAATATAGTACAGCAATCCGACAGCTCCACCAAGCTTTGGTCCCAAGGCTCTCGAGATGAGGTAACTGTCACATATTAATATTATTTGTAAATATCTCACCGAACATGGAGTTCGCTAAACAGGTGGCATAGCAATGAACGCCACAACATGAATCTCCTGATATGAATAAAGAGAGCACACCATTTCCATTCCCTAATTGAATTTCTCAGCATAAAAGTTTAAATTGGCTCACTAAGTCCCTCCTTGCTCAATTTTCCCATTCGTTGCAATGGCGCTCAACGACATGGTGGTAAGCATGGCGCAGAGGAAGGAGACGAAAACGATGATGAAAGTCTGCCAGACTCCTGCACTACCCACGATGTAGAAAAACCGCAAAAAGATCAACACTCCTGCACACAAAGCACATTGGTAGCTCGATTAGAAATGCTGGCTCAATCGCGCAATTGCGAGGATGTCGTACCCAAAACTCCGAATGCCATGCATGCAAATCAAAATTACACAAACATGCATGGAAACATGGAACGGTGGTTCTCATGAGGAAACGGGGTCACCTACCCCACATATTCTCGCATGTCGGAATGAGAACGCCGCTGTAGGTGCCCAATCCTCCAGTCTTCTTTGGCCCTCCCCGAAGCTTGTGCATCATGTTGTACCAAATCCGCTGTCCACTGGCGGCGGGGCCTTTCTTCACACTAGCTCTAGCAACCTCCAGCGATTCCGACGAGGACGCCCGCGCCGTCACTCGCACCGGCACACATGGACAATTGCTGCCCATGGCACTCGGCTCATTATGAGCCTCACTTTGCAACACCATCTCTTATACCAGTCAAACGCTCTCAATTACAACCACAAAACCAGCAACCCCTGCCTAGACTCACGATAACACCGCAGCTGTTGCCTCAATTGCTCATCACTCGCCCGCCGCACCACCACACATCGTGACACTGAAACCGCGATTCCCACCCTCCTCACCTCTCCACAGCAACTACAATCAACACACAACTAGGATCAATCTTTACTTTCAAGTACCTCTCGGACACGACGAGCAATCGACGCAATTATCAGAATCAGAACGGCAATACGTGATCAGCAACCAACAGTTCGGTGATCAGCATGCTCTGATATTAGCCTCAAGAGCTGAGATCTTGCAGCCGCGACTGATTGTCTGTCTGCTGCAGTATCTGCTTCAAAAGGTGATGGCGTATGCAATTAGCCGACGAGCATGTGACGAGTATTCGATGTCACGCTCTCCTTGCATCACTGTTCCTCAGTCTAGTTGGAAATCTTACGGCAGCCCCCGGACACTCACATTCTTTCAACTCGATCGATCAGAACCGCTAATTGTAGCACCACTCGCTCAAGTACCCTCCGCTAAACTCAGACGGAACACTGTCGTTGCGGCTCTCCAGTATGCGCAGAGAGCTTAAGGGAGAGAGAGAGAGAGAGAGAGAGAGAGAAAGAGAGTGCGCGAGCGAGATTATTTCCCTTTGCCCTTCTCAAATTCCTTAACTGAGCCTCTCTTCTTCCCTTTTATGCTAACCCAATTGCACCTCCCCGCTAGTCATAAATGATTTATTTACTAATTCAGACTTCCCACAACTTAGCCACAGCCTCTCTTTCCCATCCTTGTCACTGGAAGCATATTAAAATAAATACTTGTTTTTTCATTAAAGTCCACTTCATCGAGGGAATGATGATAGGAATGCATCAATCTTTTTGGTAACTAAAATGAAGACCTAACTCAGAAATTTTGCGGCACATGCATGCGCAAGCATAAATCGGTGCAGAATGGTGGCAATTTTCTAGAAAGTTTTGGGGATGCGTGCAGTTTTTTTATCGATACCCTTGAGTCAAATCTAGCTTGACCAGTTGAATCTCCATATGCCATTTACTATGAGCAACTTGTTATTTTCATGTATGCAGCTTGACTGAGTATGATAAATGAGTCCTTTAACGAAGCTGTTGATCCTGACGCTCTGTCACTAGCATTGTCAACTTTCACGTTGTAAGAAGCCTCAGCTCGACAATTAGCCGTCACCTCTAAATCATGGTGACGCTTGTGGGGAAAGTACAAGCTGTCTAAAGTTCTTTCGCTCTCGTTCAAGCCCAAGTAGTCGGACACTACAGTAAAAATGAACAATAATCAAGCGTTCAAGAGTTGGAAATGCAAACTGTGCTCGACTCCTGCGATTCGGAAGCGTGATTGACAAGTTGTGTGTAATGTGCTGCGGTCATTCTCTGTCCAATGATTTTGCTGGTGATACTTCGGAGTTTTTAATTTAATTTAATTTAATGTTTTATCATATTCTTTTTATTTACAAGTCACAAAGAATGAGAAAACAGATAACCGTATCAAAATTGTTCCAGAGCGCATTGAAAGGCGTCTGATACAGCAGTCTAACAAGCCGAAACTCAACAGTAGTCTTGAAAAAAATGGTGGTAATTTTCAGCACCAAGTTTCCAAGGCTGAACATTATGTATATAAACCTTGCGGACCCATGCTCTAAACAACGCTACAACTCACCTTTTTCCTCTTCAACGCAAAACAAAGTTTCTGAATATATTCTCATTATATGTTTTTGGAATGAGTATGAGAACCTGGAGATTAATCAGGGGTAGGCATCCAGAAAAAGAACTCCTTGCTCACATGAAAACTCTCTGCATGTGAAAGGTCTGCATTCAATGAATGCTCATTTTGTGCTTCTGTGGGAGCCACCGAAGGTCCTTGCAAAAAAGCATAAGTTACTGGCCCATATTATTTTCTAGTCCCAACACAAATGGTACACTCGAGAGTAGATACTGGACATTTACACTGTACTGAGTGCCTAAAATTGATATTTGTTTTCCGACTTTTGAAGCGTACAAAATTATGTGCTCGAATTCCAGATTGAACGGTTCATTCTAGAAGAGCACGTGCAATCGGTACTTGTTGCGGAGCATACGCGGGAGCCTTGCTTTCATCCTTTCATGCTTTCGCAGACAAATCCGGGGGTTTTGTTGCCTCGGCACCTGCAGAGCAATAGCTGGAGGGGTCGCTTGGCTTGCGCTGCTGTGCGGCCTCCTTTTAGGAGGGATCACAGCAGCATGTGATGGATAAAAGGAATTTGAGTAGTTAAGTTCGTCACGAGGTTTTGCCACCGCAGAGAGGATTCAGGGATGTGGGCGAACCAACCTCACGGCCACCCACAAAATAGTACACGGGATGAAAGGGGATGAAGTCCCCATCTACGTCGAGTTTTTATCTCTCTCTTGCTGCTGCTACTTCTACTTCTCCTTCCTCCAATTCTCACTTCTCTATTTTCAGAAGAGAACAAGGATACGAGTACAGCTCAGTGAGACTGCAATGCCGGAGAAACATAGTGTTGACAAAACGTACCTACCACAAGAGGAATCGATGGAGCGACAAACGCAAGTTTCAAGGAAGAGCGATGTGATTTGGGGTGCAAAATACAGGATGCGAATAGAATAAAAGGATGGCAAGCAAAGGGGATGATTCCCCACCAGCTGTTTCTGTTCTCACGAGAGGAAGCACGCAGGGGAATGGAATGTAGGCTGGGGGGATTGGATTCGCACAGCCCTCCTCCATCTTCTCCTCCTCCTCCTCGGTGCGAGCGCAGAAATGTGAGTGAGAGAGAGAGAGACCCAGTGGATGGGAATGTGCAACCGCGGAGCTGGGCCCCCACCAATCCAAGCCGCCGCTCACCCAATCCCCCCACGGCACCCACTCCGTTGACGACGTCCGTGTGGCTCTCTTGCTCTGTCTCTGTGTCTCTCTCTCCCTCTCTCTCGCTCGAAGATGGCATCCTTCCAGTGCGTGGGAATTGCGGACGCTACGTAAATATCTCTCATGCTGCACTACAGTACAACATGGGAAAGCAACCGAGCACGCACCCTGCCCCTTTTCCTCCTACAAATCAATGGCAACATCACCCAAATCCCATGAAAACATCCACAACAAAAAAAAAAAAGAAAAAAAAAGAAAGAAAAAAGGCATTCATCGCCGCACGCCGGTTTCTGATTGGTCGGAGCGATTGGCGGGGATTAGACGTCGGTTTATATACGGACGCATTGGGTTTGTACATATGATATGGGGTTTCCACAATGACACGACGCACAGCTGGTTTTAAGAAGACTATGGGCGTAACTTCGATTTATAATGAGTAGTGAATTTCTTTTTGGACTGGTTGTGGATATATATTTTTTAAATTTGGGATTTTCTTTTAATGCAAAGAAAATTAAGTTGGGAAATAAAAAAATGTAGGAAGTTTTGTTATCTCATTTGTAGTTGGTGAATTATTTTAAATATTATTTTGACATTTTTTTATTGTAAAATTTTAATGTAAAAATGAAGATTTCTTCTTCCAAATTAAATTATGTGTGTGAGTGTGTGCTTTTTCTTATCATATTTTTTGGCCTTATCCTATATTTTGTACTCTAAAAAATTGTAAGTTATGACCTAAAACTGATAATAACCATGGCATTTTTTTCCAATAAATTTTCATGTGGTAGTAGAAAATGATGTATTTTATTGATATAATAATTAAAATATTATAAAAATACAATATGAAAATTGGTAGATTAAAAAATTTGTAATATACTTTTTTTAGATAGAAAACTATAGTTGCTTTAGAATAAATAAAGGTGGCTTTGAACTTCTAAAAGAATATCACGAAAGTTTTTTATTTTACTTCTATTTTTTTAGAAAATTAACATTTTAATGGGTAACTTATGTTAGTATTATTTAGCTTATGTTAGTTATATTTAAAGTCATTGAATTAGCTTAGAGAAAATTCTGGATTCTCTAAAATAAAAATAAATAAATAAATAAATAAATAAATAAATTTTAGAAATTTGATCAAATCGCTACAATAGCATATAAAGATGCATCCATGTTTCAATCAAAAAAATTGCAAGCATATATATATATATATATATATATATATATATAAAGATATAGATATAAATGTAATACACTGTTGTAAATAATTTACAATCTTACCATAAATAAATAAAATTAAAAATGTTCTATTTGAATCAATATATTTCTGAAATAAAATAGAATCAAAGATACAATAATAAGGTACCAAGACGCTAAAAGATACATCAAAAGGCTCTTTTTATATAAAAATTACATAACTAATGCAAAAATAATTAGCCAAAAAATACTATTAATAATTATCAATAAAAATAAAAATATAATCTACTTTAAAATTTTAAATTATAATTTACAGTAATAAAAAATTTAAAAAAAAATTAAGTTAATATTTATTGTTTAAAATTTACAATATAACCATTCACAAATGATTCTTGATAGATAATGTGTAAGATTTTTTGAATTCTAGATAATTATATTTTTTCCAAAGGAAAATAATATTAAATCTTTTTATTGTTAATATATAACACATGCAATGTAAATTAAAATTTGATATAGAATTATTATATTACATTGGTAATTTTTTTAAAATTAGTGAGTATATTCTAAAATATTAGAAAATATTACGAATAAACCCAAATAAATATTTTACTAATTTTCTTTTAAAAACTTGTACATTTAACAATTTTGAATTTATTTCTGATTTTTTATGTGTAACTTAATTCTCTCTTTTTTCTTTTTTTTTTTTTTTTCTGTATATACATGTTCTTAGATTAAAGAAATATTTTAAAATTGATATTGCATGTATTAGTTGATGAGTCATTGTAATCAACTGTAAGTTAGAAATATTTTATGATATGATCAAATTACGTAATTAATCAATACTATAAAACACAAAATTATAAATATATTTTACAACAAGTTTGATATTTGAATTTAGTTTTCAAAGATAATATAGATTCTATATTATCATGATTAGTGATTGTGATTACTTTTTGTCATAGATTTAAATAAAAACATGAAAATTACCATAAAGTAAAAAATTGATAAAGTAAAATAGTAAAAATGAAAACTTTGATTGTATTAAAATCCCCATTTTTCTAGTTTTTAATGTGATAAGTTAATATCATTTAATATGCTTTATAAATTGTAATAAAAGTTAAATTGTCTAATTAATAAAAAAATGTTATTATTATTATTATTATAAAATTCTTAATACAATATATAAATATATATATATATATATATATATGTTTGACGTCCATAAATGGGTGCACATTTTTTGTCACTCTACTTGTAATTGCTATACATATTTACACAATACCACCATTGCGTTTTTGCACAACATACATATCATAGTTACAGTTATGTTATTAAAAAGAAAAAAAAAGAAAAAAAAAGGTTTAATGCTCTCTATATATTTAAATATAAATTAGAAGCCACCCTTGGCCAAAGCTTTTAAATGACCCTTAGAATCAATGATTTTAATTTTGATAATTCCATAGGCAGGCTTTGACACTTTTACCAATTCTATCCCAAATTAAGGACATGAAAAACTCCACTCCCTCAAAGCTCTCTAATTGCTCTGCTCCAAATGAAATCTAGTGCACTCCCATAGTAGCTCATTCCAGGGGACACACAGCCTCA